ATTTTAATACTTTCAAATAATCTACTTATTGTTTTGTTGATTCCTACTATTTTTCTGTTTTCTATTTCATTTAGGTCTGCTCTAGTATTTATTATTTCTTTTCTTTTGGTGGCTGTAGGCTTACTTTTCTGCTCTTAATCTAATTGCTGGAGATAGTAGGTTAAGATAGTGACTTTTGTTTTTCTTTTAGGATATGCACGCCTATTACTACAAATTGCTTTCTGAACACTGCTTTTGCTGTGTCCCAGAGGTTTTGATATTTAGTATTTTCATTCTTATTTGATTCAAGGATTTTCAAAATTGCAGTTTCTAGTCTATTACTCAGTAGCTTTTAAGCAGGGTGTTACTCAATTTACAATATCTTTTGTTTTTTCATTGATCTTCCTATTGTTGATTTCTAATTTTAATAGTGTTGTGACTTGAGAAGATGCTTTGTAGTATTTTTGATGTTTTTAAATAATGTAGGTTGTTTTTGTGATTTAACATAGTCTAGTTTGGAGACTGTTCCATGTGCATGGAGAACAATGTACATTGTTGGGCTGAGTGCTCCGTATATGTCTATGAGTTCAGGTTGGTTGATTGTGTTTAGGTCTTTGTCTTTGAATTTGTATTCTTCATAAAAGGTGGTATATTAACATCTTTTATTGGGGAGTCCATTGTTGTGTCTGTTTCTTCAATTCTATGACTTTGATTTATGTTTTGAGGCTCTTTGATTGGGAGCATAGATATTGATTAAGGTTATGTCCTCTTGTTCAGTTTAGTCTTTAATTATGATATAGTGTCCTCCTTTGCCTTTTATGCTAGCTTTTGCCTTAAAGTCTATTTTGAGAGATTAATATTGCCACTCCTGTTCATTTTTTGTTGCCATTTGCTTGATGTATTTCTTCCATCCTTTGATTTTTAGTATATTTTTATCTTTGATTGTAGGGTGGTATCTCTTGTGGACAGCATATTGAAGAATCCTGTTTTCTTATCCACTCTGCTACTCTCTTTCTCTTGACTGGTGCATTTATTTGATCCATTTATATTCAGTGTAATTATCAATTGTTAAGTTCTGTGGAGTGGTTCATACCCATAGCATCTCTGTATAGGATTTCTGAGGAAAAGCTGGTGGTCTTTTTTTTTTTTTTTTAAGTTTTTATTGTGAAAATTTATAGGGCAGATCATCAGTTTTACATTCAACAAATCATAAGCTTTGTTTATACTTTGTTTCATTACAATGGTTATAATCCCCTCCGTGTACCATCCCTTAACAGTATTTCTCTCTATTCATTTTAGTGCCTTTTTTTTTTTTAACTCATATATAATATTTAAAGCTTCAAAGGGCACCTTCTGCAAGTCTGCTTCCTGGCCCAGCTCTCAGTCCCTCTCTTTCCTTGAATCTCGAGTTCTCAGCTGCTCCTTCTCTCCATGTCCCCATCTCTGCCTCCATCTCTGGTGTCACTGTTTCTCTTGATTAGGTCCCACATTCCACTTATGCTTTTCTCCCTCTATGGTCCCAGGGTCCTCTGTTTCTGAACCGTAAGATTAACTACTCCCTCGTTTTTGTTACAAAACTTCTACCTTTACAATTGTGACAGTCGCAATTAGTTATGATAACAATTACTCGCTATTGAATTATAAGAATCTTATCCTTATCTTTTTTTTCCTTTCCTTGGTTTTTATTGTGGATTGAGTGAAAGTTTACAGGGCAAATCATCAGTTTTACATTCAACAAATCATACACCTTGTTTCGTTACAATGATTATAATCCCCTCCATGTACCATCAGGTAACAGTGTTTCTCTCTTTTCACTTTAGCTTTTTTTTTAAAAAAACAAAACACAACAACACTCTCTTCTCATGAATCTAGAGTCCTCAGCTGTTCCCCCTTTCCATTACCTCATCTCTGCCTCTGTCTCTGGTGTCACTGCTTCTTTGGATAAGGTTCCACATTCTGTTGTGCTCTTCCCCCTTGGTGATCCTGGGGTCCTCTTTTTCTATGATTAATCACTCCCCTGTTTTTGTTACAAAACTTCTACCTTTACAATGTGATAGTCTCAATTAGTCATGATGACAGTTACTCATTATTGAATCGTAGGAATCTTATCCCCATCTCTTTTCACCAGAGCCATCTAGACAAGATGAAAACTATTCAGTGGGGATTCATTCTCCCCCCCTCCACTCTAAAACTAAACTCCCTCTTGAAACCTTGTAAGCCAGTCACTTTGTGCCTTTATCACCCCCTCATTTTAGGTAGCCAATGTCTATGTTGCCTGTCCCTATCTATCCTGTGTACAGAGGGGATAGGATAGCATTGATGCTTGATGTAAAGATTCCTTCCCTCTCTGTTGGTATTTAGAGTTAATACCTCCATGAGTATAGGTCAGGTTCATCAAATTGTAGCGATTATCAAAAAAAAATTTTTTTTGTAATCTTACTCTAGTCGAGTACTGATTATAAAGCCATCAAGGCTAGGTCAAATGGGTACTGTCTGCAAGTTGTGGTATTCTTGTGCGTCTCCCTCACTTCATATCAGCTGGATGCTTCGTTCAGTTCTTGCCCTCTGTGGCTATTCCTTGTCCATGGGCTCAGATGTCCCCAGGTCTCACCACACTTTGGACCAACCAGCCCTTCCTCTTCTCGCCGTCATCTCCAGGTCAACAGGAATCAGTGGACTGTGGTTGAACTCAGCCCATTTCTTCATTGCTGCCTTTCCCCCTCTTCCACTCACCAGTAGACCAATGTGGTCGCCAGCAAGCTTACATGCCTGTTCATGTGTTCCCTTTGAGTTTCAGTCTTAGAGGGGGGTTTGTCCTGAAGGAATTTGATTTCTTGCCTTGATGGCTTCCTGGTGAACAGCTTGTTTATTCTAGTAGTAAGTAACCAGTCATGCTGACATTTTTGTTTTTGGTTTTTTCCTGATGATCTTTCTTTCTTTGAAGGTGTATCTTCTGTTGCTCTAACTTCCAGCTGGTCTGCTTGTCCTTGCTGGTGGGAATGTCCCACCTCATAAGGTTCTGGATGGAACTCAGGATTCCACCTAAGATCCTATACTCTGCAAAAGCTCTGCAAGAGGCCTATTTAACTGGGCAAGTTCTAGAACCCATTTTAGGTATTCCAATCAGTTTTAGGCTGAAGATGGGCTTACAAGTTTTCTGTAATCATGTTTCCAAACATTCCTTTGTATCCCATTCAAGTGTCTATCTTAGAGTAGTAGGCAAGGGAAACCAGTATTCATAGGACAGTCAAGCATTTTAGTACTATTTTCCCTCTTCAAACTATGCCTAGATATCTGTATCACAGAGCCTGTTGTTCCATCGTTTGAGCATGCATCACTGTTTATCTCTGTTCCATTTAGCCCATGCAAACCTGTCTCAGTGTTCCCCTATCTATCTTGTTCTTCCACCTCCTCCCCCTTCTTGTATTGCCCTCCCCAACACCCGGACTAAACCCCCATCCCAACCCCACTATTGTGGTTACCTTATATATATTCCATTAACTCTTCCCTCAATTTAAGATAGTCTATTTTTTCCTGTAATCTACCTGACCTTCTCATCACCTGGATCTCTGTTCCTCTGTGTTTACCTTCTTTAACATTGTAATTGTTTTGATCATAGACTGCCCAGATTCTCTGTTCTTATCATTTTATTCTGTTCTTGACTCTTCATTTGTCAATTGAGTTCAGAATGATGTCATTCTCTGGTTGTTGTCTCTTCTTGTTGGTTCTCAGTCCACAGAACTCCCTTTAGGATGATTTTCATTGCAGGTTTGGCTTTGGCAGAATCCCTTAGCTTTTATTTATCCTGGAATGTTTTGATTACACCATCGTATTTGATTGACAGCTCTGCTGAGTAGGGGATTCTTGGTTGGAAGTTTTTTTTTTTTTTTTTAAACTTTCAGGGTTTTATATATGTCTCCCCATTGCATTCTTGCCTACATGGTTTCTGTTGAAGAAATCCGAGCTTAATCTAATTTGCTTGCCTTTGTATGTTACACTTCTCTTTTCCCTAGCTGCTTTCAGGATTCTGTCATTATCTTTCACATTGGAGAGCTTGATTATTATATGTCTTGGTGATTTTCTTTTAGGGTCTATCCTTCCTGGGGTTCGTTGAGCTTCTTGAATGCTCATCTTTTCGCTTTGCAGGATGTTAGGAAAATACTCTTTCAGCAGCTCTTCAACTATCTCCTCTGTGGACTTGTGTGATTCTTCCTGTTCTGGAATGCCGATAATTCTGAAGTTATTCCTCTTCATGTTGTCCAACATGAATCTTAGGCCTTCTTCAGATATTTTTAAAATCCTTTTTTGTGCTTGCTCTTTTATCTTAGTAGTGTTGAGAGATTTCTAGCTCACGAGTTCTGGCTTCTATCTCTTCAGTTCTGCTCCTTTGTCCTTCAGTTCGTACATGAAAGTACTTAATACAAGCTCTGGGACTCACAGTAAACACTCATTATTATATGTTTACTGTTGTTATTTTTTCTTTCTAAAGCTTTCCCTGATTTTTTCTTTTTCTTTTCAACAAGTTCAGCTGTGCATTTTTTTACAGCATGTTTTTAAATTGTTTTGGGTGAAGTTTCAGCACTGTATTTAAAAAACTGTTTTCACCAATGCTTACTAAATTTTGTAGTAGAGGAATTTTTGTGGTGACTAGTCTTTCATGGAGTCCTGTGTGGCACTGTAGGATAATGCTGGACTGCTAAACACAAGCTTGGCAGTTCAAATTCACTGGCTACTCCTCAGAAATGCTAGACAGGGTCACCATGAGTCAGAACCAATTCTGTGACATTAAAACAAGTCTTTCATATTACTTTGGTTTTTGTTACCATAGCAGAAAAACTGATCTGTAAAGTGTCCCCCTGCCTCCATTTTCAGTTGGCCACATTGAAACCAGTGTGCACGTAATGCTTAAATCTACCTGCCATGTATTCTAGAAGGCCACGTGGAAGTGGAGGAGCCTGGGTTTGAGTTCATATGGCTAGCTGTGTGTTCATCATCTGTCTCTCACTTGCTCTCCTTTACAGGGTCCTCTGCTCCAAGTTGGCCAATAGCCTGTCCTCAGAGTATTTGAACTTTGACTCCATGACCTTCGGTGCCCTCCCAGCCCGCCGCCTCTCTACGGCCTCCTCAGTCACCAAGCCCCCACACTTCCTCCTCACCACTGAGTGGCTGTGGCGCTGGGCTGATGAGGCCGGCTCTTGGCAGGAATATGGAAGGCAGGTAAGTGGATGGACTGGCGCAAGTGTTCTTTTTGGAGTGATGTGTTGGGGCGCCTGTCTAGTCAACTCCACCACCAGGGCAGGGGTTCTCGGTAATGCCATGCCCCATTCAGGACTCCCTGGCTCTGGGCGGTTCACAGCAGAACACAGTGAGAGAGCGATTGGTTCCTCATCTGTGGGAGACTGTGCGTCTTCATATGTCAGATGAGGAGGAATGCTCTTTGGGGATAAGGTGACCTGGAGGTGGCGACCGTATCTGCCCGGGTGCAGATGTTCATGCACAGCGGCTGCATGGGCTTAGAGCTTTCTTGAGCGAACTTAATGCTATTTCTGGAAGTGGATGCCCATCAAGTATTCATTCAGAACGATCCTTGAGTGGCAAATGTGGTTTTCACTTGACTGCTAATTGTAAGCTTGGTGGTTGGAATCTACGCAGCAGCGCTGTAGAAAACAGGCTTGACAATCTGCCTCCATAAAATGTAGCCACTGGAAACCCTCTAAGCGTGCAATTCTCCTCTGAAACACGGGTCATCGTGAGGTGGGATTGACTGGCAGTGGGTTTGTTTTGTGTGTGATTGGTTTGGTTTTGTTTGGATTTGGTTTAGGAATAAGTGCTGCTGCCAGTTGTTTGAGATGGGGATGAATCTGTTTGACAGCAGCCCCCCAGGCCCCTTGTATAGGCTCACGTGTTGTGTGTCACTGCTTGTATGGGGACATGCTTTCTAAGTAACAATTGAGATGTGCCTGGGTTGTAAGAAGCTGGATTGAAGCTTTAGTGTCTTGCTCTGAACTGTGCGTAGAAGGCCTCTTTCTCTAGTATTGCAATAACGTAAGCCTCAGGAGGGTCGGGACTTCAGTCTCTTTTCCACTGACATCTCCTCTGTGTCAATGTGCGCGAGATGCATGTAGCTCCATGCACTGAGAAAGGCTGCCCCCTTCACCCTATGCTTCTACTCCCCCCCGTGCTTCTTGGTCCCTCAGAACTTATGCCTCAAGTTCCTTTCCTGACGTTTTATTGCAGTGTAGGAAGAATCTTTTTGAACCTTATTACCCTGCAGTAAAAGTTCCTATTTCTTTGTGTTGTGGCAAGTGGCCCCATGTAGAACAGAGCAGATACTGTGTGGTCCCTTGCCCTCCTCACACCATTGCTGTGTGAGCCATATTGCACGCTGTTATTGCAGACTGTCTTATGGAGGAGCTTCCTCTTGTTCACTGACCCTCTACTTTGCCAGGCAGGATATCCTTCTCCAGAGACTGCTCCCTCCTGGTAACATGTCTGAAGTCACCCACTTGTTGTGTGCCTTCGAGTCTTGTTCTGACTCACAGAGACCCCTGTACAGGGTTTCTGAGGAGTGGCTGGTGAGTTTGAACTGTCAACCTACAATGAGCAGCAGTCCAGTGCTTATCCTACAACAGCACACCAGGACTCCCATTCACTTACGTTATTGCTGTTGTTAGGTGCCATCAAGGAAACCCTGCCTGGTCCTGGACTAATCTCACTATCGTTGCCAAGCTTGAGACCATTGATGCTGCCACTTGGCCAATCCATCTTGCTGGAGGTCTTCCTCTTTCTCTGACCCTCCAACTTACCAAACATGATATCCTTCTCCAGCAACTGGACCCTCCTGACAATATGTCCGAAGTATGAGAGACAAAGTTTGGCCATCCTGGCCTACAAGGAGCACTCTGGTTGCACTTCTTCCAAAACAGATCTATTG